GAGGCTGGAGACATGTTCTGTTTTTAACACTGTGAAAGTGTCATCCACATATCTCCGCCATATTTTTGGAGTAGGATTAAATGTATTAAGAACACTATTTTTCCAGCTGTCCATAAATATGTCTGCTACGATAGGTGATATTGGTGATCCCACTACTACATCTTCTGTTTGTCTATATGTTTTGCCTTAGAATTTAAAGGTAGTAGATGTGAGGCATAACTGAATTCCTAAAATAATTCCTTCAATGGGTAGCTTCGACCTATGAGTGAGGTCAGGATCTGCAGTTAGTTCTTTTTTAACTGCTTCTAATGCTATATTGATTGGTATATTAGTATAAAGACTAGTTGTATCAAAACTAACCGTTGTTTTATCATTCTCTAGTTGGTGTGATGCCCTGAGATAATTCACATTTGGCCGTAGTACAATTAGTACGCTTATATTACTGATGCAATGACATGCAAGACTTGTACATGTTGCTGTGAAGTTTCCCTGTAATAACATTCCTTACATAGTAAATACAGTGCTTGTGATAGCAATTCGTCACTATTTTTCATTACGTTGATAGGTGCGTATATATTAGAAAAAAGCTAACCTCGTCGTATTAGTTCTCGAAAATACTTTCACTAAGTGCCCATACTTCTGATTAGTACCGAGTGCTACTCGTCGTCCATGAAATACTTTTTACTGCATTCGTTAATGTGGACAAATTCTTCCGATTAATTTTGTTTTAATTTTTAATTTAATTTATATTTTGAGTAAATCAGATGCAATATTGTGACAAATACTGAGAATTCCATTCTGTATTGTTCTGTACTGTTTTTGGAATAAAGTAGATTATTATTATCACTTCTACACAAATAACCTTGACTATTCGCATGTAAACGATGCTAATGATTTCATCACTTACGTGATGTTTCGACCACCTCAATAAAGCAGGAATTAGGGTGGAATTTTATGTAACAGGAAATATCGTTTACTCTTATCGGGATAGTGAATGTCCATGTGTTTTGTCCTGTTGCGCAATATTCCAGTCCATTTATATTCTTTACTAACTGAGTTGTACTCGCTGTTCAGTTTCCAAATCTGATTTTTTTGTTCATGTTATAATTTTCCTTTACTATTCACTCACATCCTCCTGAACTCTAGATTATAATATGTATAGATTCCCTAAGTTGTTCGAGCTTGTATTTCGTCTTTAGTCAATCCTTGTTCCCAAGAGATATCTGAACTGTACCCACTTTTCCTGAATATACCACAAATAGTCACTCGTTTAACACTGAATAATTCGTCTGCTTATATTATTTTTGGAAGTATGTTACTTATACTTTCTGTTCATAGCTAGCCCGTTACTCTAACATAATTCAGTTACACGGAGCATGCTTCTCGTGTTTGAACTCTAGTGATGTTACTCAGTTGTCCGAGCTGAAGTAGGTTGAGTGGGTTTCAAATCTCGGGCCAGTTGGATGGAAGTCGAATGCTTAAGCTCATAAGCTACATTGGTAGCCATACTACTTTCATAAAGTGATTCTCATCTGATCACCAAAGTTAGGCAGCGTCAGTGATCCAATGGGATAATGCTCACTTACCAGTCACTCGGATATCGACAACTCTAAAGATAACGACTACCCCAGACAGTGTAGCTTAAACTACTTTAGTATGTGACTACAGTATCACACTATGGTAGCCGCAGCTTTGGACCGAACTACTTGTTAGTTTCATAGTCTGATTTGTTTACTGGATATATAACACAGTGGCATTATCAGTCACGCTTCGCACACAACTCACTGTTCATCATCACATTTATTGTCAGTTTTTAATACTGTTTCACTTTGTGATATATATATCCAATAAACAAATTTTCAAATATTGGTTTTGTGAGGATATTTTGTTTGATTGATTACAGGATTTCATCATGGGCTGACATCGGTCAGTGAACCAATGGGACAGTTGCTTTTATCCTAGTTTGGGACTCTTAAACGGTACGCACCCACCAGGGAACGAAACCAGTAGGTCCTGGTTTCGTGTCGTGAATTGGCAGAAGTTGGAATTCATGGGCGATTGAATCGGGTCCCAGTGGCCTAATGTTTTACGAGATTACCTTGTAACCAGAAGGTCCTGGGTTAAAACCCTGGTGGGTGCGTGCTGGTGAAGAGTCCCAAAGTGGCACGAAATAGCTGTCCAGTAATAACAGATTTTCCAACCGATGTCAGCTGATGATGAAATCCTGCAACCACGTATGTGTAGATACCGATCACGCACTGATCCGCGCTCGTGTGTGCTTACGACTGAACGGACGTAGGAAACAGCTGGCGGTAAACCCATCACATCCCCAGCTCGATCAGGAAACTAAGTCCCTATTTGAGGAAGAACTAGCTAAACACATATCTGAGTTCGACAGCTGCGCTCACCCTGAAGAAGCCTGGAAGAATATTCAATCAGCCATAGATACAGCTGTAAAAGCTGTGAATAAGGTAAATCCAAAGGTGAGTAAAAACCATTGGATTTCGACTGCCTCATCCGAACTGATAGATGCTAGAAGACTTATTCCGGCGAGCTCCGAATTCAACGAGGAGAAAAAGCTGCACAAGAGGAAACTTACGAAAAGTCTCCGCAAGGACCGTGAACAGTGGTGGTTGACAAAGGCGAAAGAGATGGAAAAAGCATCGGCGATAGGCAACACTAGGCAACTCTTTAGACTCATCAGGGAAACGGGTGGGAGAAGGCAAATCATAAGTGAGACTATTTGTGAGAAAAATGGCTCCCTAATTAGCTCTCAGGATAGACGCCTTGAACGCTGGAAAGAACATTTTGAGGAACAGTTTAACTTGCCTACAGCCACACTGAGACTCCCCGCCATCCAGCACACACCCGAATGGGATACAAACACTGGCCCGCCGTCTGTAAGTGAGGTCACCAAAGCTATCTGTAATTTGAAACGAAGCAAAGCGGCAGGACCCGACGGAATTATTCCGGAGGTGTTTAAATATGGGGGTGACATACGAGTATATAGTTTAACTAAGGTACTAGGTAACGTCTGGGAATCAGACTGGGGTAAGTCACTTATTATACCGATATTCAAGAAGGGAGACAAGTCCTTCTCCTCATGTGATAATCATAGGGGATCAGCCTGACGAACATAGTCTCTAAAATCCTAGGCTCAGTAATCATGAACAGACTAAGCCGAACTCGGGAGGAACAAACGAGGGAAAATCAAGCGGGCTTTAGGCCAGGTAGAGGGTGCATAGATCATATCTTCACTCTCCGACAGATCCTAGAACATAGACACACTTTCAGGCGTCCAACAATTGCCATATTTCTTGACTTAAAGGCGGCCTTCGACTCCGTGGATCGAAAGGTAATATGGCAATGTTTGACTGTGAAGGGAGTGCCAAGAAAGTACATTGCACTAATCAAGGCACTCTACTCAAACTCACGTAGCCGTGTAAAGGCTTATGGGGAATTGTCATCTGAATTGATAACAACCAGTGGTGTCCGTCAGGGATGTCCACTTTCCCCATTTCTGTTTAACTTCATCATACACATGCTAATGGAAGTATCCTTAACTGAACTTAACGACTTAGGAATCGACTTGTTACCAGGGAATAGGCTTATAGACTTAGAATACGCAGACGACATAGTCCTGTTAGGGGAGGACGCTGACAAAATGCAGAGTCTTCTGAACACCATGAGCAGCAATCTTCGTATGTTTGGCATGCGATTCGCCCCTGCAAAATGTAAGATGCTGCTACAGGAATGACTGGACTACGTCAACTCCTAGCTTAGTGATAGGGAGTGAAGTGATAGAACATGTTGAACACTTCACCTATTTGGGAAGTTGTATCAGCACCAACGGATTGATTGGTGACGAAATCACAGCACGGATCCAGAAAGCTCGGGCTGCTTTCGCTAACTTACACCGTCTCTGGCGTAGGCATGACATCCGGCTATCAACCAAGGGACGTGTGTACTGCTCAGCAGTTCGCTCCGTCCTTCTCTATGGCGGTGAGACGTGGCCATTGAGAGCGGAAGACATGAAGAGATTGTCTGTTTTTGACCACAGATGTTTACGATCTCTCTCTCGCGTTAGGTAGTATAATAAGGTAAGTAATGTTGACGTTAGGCGTAGAGAGTTGGGCAAAGAGGGAAAATCAATCGAAGAGGCTATAAAGTTGCATAGATTGAGATGGCTAGGTCACGTGCTGCGCATGCCTAGCCATCGCCTCCCACGATGGTCATTACTAGCTGATATAGGTGCAGGTTGGAAAAGAGTAAGTGGTGGCAAAACAAAAACATGGTATCAATCCATGAAATCCATGACACTTAAACTGAGTCAGGTAGGGAGATGCAGACTTTCGGGTTGGGGCCCTCGGGACTCTAAGAATCAATGGCTGGAGACAATAGGTGACATGGCTCAAAATCGTTGTCAATGGCCTTCGCAGATGTATTCAGTCTCTGTAATCTTTCATATTCCTTTCTACCATTACCCATTCTGTTTCACTCTTATACCTGTCGAAACTCTACTGATTCTCTTCACTCATTTTCTTGTCTACCTTTGTGTGCTCTTTGGAACGTGGCAACTCGAACTGCTGCACTTCGGTGCCAAGTTCTATGTTGAATCCAGCCAGCCAGTAACCAATAAACAAATTTAAATGGAATTACATACTGCACACATATCGCTTTAACTTTACAAGTTGCTAGGTTATATTGTGTCTCGATCATATTTTATGTTAACTGCACGGTTAGCAATCACTGTTTCATCGTGCTAGTTCCATTGTGTAGCCGAACATACTAGGTTGTTACCAAACTAATTATGGAAAATGACTGAACGAGAGGAAAAAGTCCAGTGACTAGACCAAACTGAAGATGATCAAAATAGAGCCTTGCATAGACAAAGAACACGAAGATGTTCTTAACGGAAGAAACAATTTATCTGCACCAATTAATAAAAGAAAGAATTCAACTAACATATACATAACATTAATATTAGCAAAACAGTTCACCTGAATCTGCAAAATTTGTGCTCTCGTCCCACCGGCTTCTTGAAGGATTGGAAGTATGTTAGGTTGAGAGACAACTTGAACCAAGGGGAACGTGCTACCGTCAGTGAGGATGGCACCAGCTTGACCAGCAGATACAGCGTCCGTGTTAGCCGTCTATAAGAGATTAGTTGAATATTCAAGTTAATAACCATTGTATGAAATTTCGTTAGTACGAGTTTGAAGAAGTTGCAAATACAACAAGCACAAAAATGTATCATAATCTTCTACTTACAGATTAAGATGAGCACTTGGTATTTAACTTTGGACCTAGTAATACAGCTAACACATAACGGTCAATACCTCAACAATTTGTTTTATTCTGCATTCTGTTACCACAACAATGTCTTTAACTTTGATTTTAACAGTTCATTCCTTTTGTTTGTAATTTTTTGCATATGATCTGAAAACATTTACTTTTTTCATTCCCCAGTGTACTTTATCTTTGAATAAAAATCGCATAGTATTCACTCATTATTCATCTTCCTTTGTTCAGTTGTTTACATTTTTCTAATCGATTTGTGATTTATATATTGTCCCGACTGATGTCATCGTAACTAAGTAGTTTGATTTATCAAAATTGGTGCATAAAAACAAACAACACGCTATCAGGCCTTTTTAAATAAGGTTTGAACTCGTTTCCTACACTATACAAACTTTTCTGCAATCTCAAGAAGATTACATGAAGGTAACGTTCATATTTATTGTGTATTGATCGAAATCGTCACAACACAATAACACATTAATCAAAATGCAACTGAAATGGAGGTGAATACGCTTTTCTTGAATTTCCTCAGGGATAAGCCAACACTTTCGTTTAAAGAATCAGTGTTGCAATATACATATCTTCAGAGACAGAAGAGCGTTCAATAAAATACTTTCTTATTATTGTAATATTTTTTTCCATATAATGATACTTGCGTTCGGAATTCGCCCAACCAATTCTTTTCAGTTTTTGGTGTAACATGGAACTTCACAAGCTATTGACCTACAATGATAACTGAAATGTCTGCATTTTCATGCTGATGATTTGTATTACAGTTACCATTATTGTACGCCTATCATGAAAGATCAATTTATCTTCATACATGGTTTCATATTTTAGAAGGTAGAGTGAGTAATATATACCGAAGTTAAAGAAAGACCTTATTTAAAACAATACGGTTAGCTTACTTATCCTTCTTTAACTCTAACAATCGGAATCGTTAAGACTATTTGAAACGTTTGACAGTATTAAAGGGAAATAAGAAAACAAAAGCGTTGAGGAAAACTGTGGCATTAGCATCAGATGTTAAATATCACTCACTTCAAATGTATTTTCAAGTATTGGTTTTGTAAGGATATTTTGTTTGATTGGTTATAGGATTTCATCATGAGCTGACATCAGTTAGAGAACCATTAGAAAACCTGCGGGGAGTACTGGACAGCTGTTTCGTCCTAGTATTTGTAACACATACTTTTTATTTGGATGCATTCAGGCACTAGTTACACAACTCATTATATTTAATATGACACGACGTTATGTGTTCCTATTACGTCTGTTCGAACTATTTGCAGAATGTAAAAGAGCGGGGGTTAAAGGACTGAAAAGTGTGTCCACACCATAACTACATCATTTTTTACCTCGGTGAAATATCAGCAGTGTTGTATCGTTTTTATCAGCACTTTCGATCTTAATCTTATCACATCTGATATTCGAAGCACAAAACAAGCTTGCAGATATAACAGTACTGCTACATGCAGCTACCGGGTATATGCTTGCCTTTAATTACTTATGTTGAGGGACAACCAGCAACCAGCAGTCTTAATATTTTCTCAATCAACAAATGACATTTTGTTTGGTGGTGGTTAGCACTGGAGTTCAAGATGCGTTTTATCCTGTTTCAGGCCCGTCACTTGATTGTACCTGTCTATTAGTATGTGATGGTATTCACATCGAGATTTGATTTGTATCGGATTATACCCATCGCAAAGAAATGAATCTTGCAGTTCGGTAACCGACCGAATAATGCTCTAGTAATTTAAGCAGTGGGCAATAGATTCAAATCTCAGTGGAAACACCATCACTTACTGGGGAGCAGGTACAATTAACTGACGAGTCCTGATATAGAAGAGAGGTTGCGCCTTGAATTGCAACACCAGCTGCCACCAGAGGAATAACTACAAGCTGAAAACCGTGGAAATATTCGGACGTCCGTTCATGGGACCCATATGCCAAAATGAGGCTCATAAATTCGATTCAAATACATCAGGGGAAATCACAAGCATGAATAAACAATACACATGTTTCACTTAACAGGTATAACTACAGAGGTCAAAGTGCTGACAGAGTAGGAAGATTACACAACAATCTGAACATCCTAGTAGTCTTCTGTCGATCGCAGGTTAATATAAGCAGTCAGTAAATTTAGTATCTGCATGAATTCCAAATGAGGATGTCGATTTTGAGCGAAAGCTACATCGACCGACCGACCGCTGGCTGCTACCTTGACATGGTCGTCGGGCTTGCATATCGCGATCACCCAACAAGCTACACTGTCTGGAACTATTGTTCCTGCAGGTCCTGTCTTGCTAGGAAGATAGTTAAGATAGCGATTAGACTAAAAGAAGTTACCGGCGTAGTGTAAGTTTTTTTGTTTTACACTATGCTGGGCATCATCTGTGGGCAAAGTCGTACTGCTGGGGAACAGGGATATAAGAGCAGTAGGGTGTTTCCCTCAGATGACCAGCGTGCCGGCCAGCTATGCTGTCTCTCCACTCTGGAGAGACGGGGTTAGAGAAGGTCGACCCTCGCAACTATACATTCCGACTCACCCTACGGTGGTCCGTAGCCGGCAGTAAGTTACTAATACGGAACCAAATCAAAAAGCCAATTCAGACAGGCCGTGTGTGACCGGCCCCAAGCAGTCTCTGCGGTCACACAATACTTACCCTCTTTCTGTTTCAGGTACCCAAAGAATCAATCAACTTCCACGGTGTGGGCAGCCGGGAAGTAACAATCGCCCACACACTTCCAAAAGCACACGAAGCCTTCCTGAGAATCATTCTCCTTCACCCACATTACCTTCATCAGCTTACTTTCCTACTACAGTCGGTACTATTCTTCAGGCTAGTGAGTGATCTTCACTCTATGACCACAAACAACGATAAAAACCATAGAAACACCCCCAACAGTCTCCTAAAGCCACGTCAACAACTTCGTATAGGAGCACTTAACGTCAGGACCCCTTCTCAGGCGTGAGGCTAGCAACCCCACCCTGTAAACAAAGCTGCAACAGAAACTTCAGCACGATGAATCTCCTTGCGCCAAAAGAAAAAGTCTGTGTGGGGACATGGAATGTCCGCACCATGTACGAGATTGGCGTGAGCGAGAGAAACAAAGCAGCACATAACGGAAAAAAAAGAGAGAATAGGAAAAGAAAGAAAATGTTGTACCTATAAACGATATGAGTTGGAAAGACGAGGTCCAGTTGTACTACTGACTATTTAATGAATTATAGGTGTCACGCCTAATGCTTTCTTTATCGCACAGAACACGAGCTAAGTAGGGTATGGTTGAGTTTTTGCACTTGCTGGTGTGAGCATATAGTTTTCTATTTAGGCTTCTGGTTTTGCCTGATGAGATGCAAGGGGAGAGTTGTGAGTGAAGACGGTGGTGTGAGTTAGATAAAATGGGTTTGGCCCATTTTTCACATGAGTCCATTAACAAGCTGGTTAAGTGGCACGTTGCTTACCCTGCTGACAACCTTTAACATCCTGTGTGATATGTTATAGTCTTTCTTCAGTAGACCGGGAAAAACTAAGGGGGAACAATAGAGAATAATAGGCAGAATGCGAGAGTTAACGAATTGTAGGAGTAAGGGTTGGGTTATACCTCAATGTTTTAACTTCTTAATGTAGGCGGTAAGACGGAATATTTTCTTAGAAATCGCCAAGATATGAGACGACCAGGAGAGATCAGCAGATAGAATGACGCCTAGGTATTTAATTTCCGACTTGGTTTCTATTTCAGTGCCATCTATGTTGCATACCTCGTGAGAGCCAACCAGTTTCTTTAGGTCGGATTTATGCCTAAAGGTGAAATCGACTGTTTGGCATTTGGAGGGGTTTGAGGTAAGACCGTTTTCCTTGGACCACTGGCTGATTTCTGACAGAAAGCCATCAAGTTTAGAACAGTCACTTTGACATTTGACAGGCAAAGATACTGTCAGGTCGTCAGCATATTTGACAAAATTGATGTCATTTGAAGATGGTAAGTCATGTAGAAAGAAAGAAAAGAGAAGTGGGAGAGTACAGCACCTTGGGGGGGGGGGACACCAGCTTCAGTGAGCGCAGCAGAGGAGGATTTACCTTTGTATACGGTGTACTGCTTTCTGTTAGAGAAGTAGGAATGCAGCCAGTTAGTGACCCAGGACTCAGTTTTTGTCAAAGAGAACTTATTTAGCAGGAGACATCTAGGTACAGAGTCGAAAGCAGAAGTGAAGTCGAGAAACGTGCAGCGGACGTATTTGGCACCTTTATCTAATGATGAGACGATGTTGTTGTATAAGACGGCTGCAGCGTCTAAAGTGCTCCTACCCTGTCTATAGGCAAATTGTTTGGGGTCTTCAAAGTTTTTAAGGGAGGGTTCAAGTTTAAGAAGTACTAGTTTTTCCATAAGCTTTAGAAACGGGGAAGTGATGGCAATGGGTTTGAACTTTACGTTCTTGCTGCTTCCAGGTTTAGGGACAGGGACATTTTTGGAGAAAGAAGCATTTAGGATGTTAGTTGGTGGAGAACATAAAGCATTTGCACATTATTTTAGAACATATGCAGGTATACCATCAGGGCCAAGGCTACGTGAGGGCTTGAGCGTTTTAAGACATTTTAGAACATCGAGAGCATTAAAGTCATGAAAGTTTTCAGCTACATGATTGGAAACATCAGAAGCAGTTATAGTAGAAGGACAGCGTATGAAAGACTGATTAAGAGCATTAACATCATAGGAGGAAAAAACATTACAACGCTCACTGTTGCCAGTAATTTCATTAAAAAGTTTCCACGTGCTGATAGGGGATTTGCATGATAAAAGTGTATCGTTTAGATAGCATTAAGATTTTTGATTTCAGATTTGATTTGAGCAATAATCTTTTTGAGTCCTGACTTATCTTTGGATTTGTATAATGTTTCTTTTTGCCTGCGAAGTTGTTTGAGACACGGAATTCAAGTACTGGGTATATGTGAAAGCAGATGGAACGGGAATGGACTCACCAAATTGTCAACGGGTGAGTCAGTGATCTACTCCGGTCGCCCAGAAGACAACCACATACACACCGAGGGCGTGGCTATCATGATGTCATCAACGGCAACGAAGGCCCCGATGCAATGGGAGGCGATCTCGCCCAGGATAATGACCGCCAGATTCAACTCTAAGGGAAAGAAAGTGTCAGTCATACAATGCTATGCACCCACAAACAACGCAGATCTCGAGAAGAAAGAAGAATTCTACAGACAACTACATGCAACAACGGACAATAGTCCAGTCGGCGACATTAAAATACTAATGGGAGACAGGAACGCCAAACTGGGACCAGACAACACAGGAAGGCAACTCATCATGGGCAGAGAATCTCTCGGAGAAATGAATGAAAATGGAGAACTCTTCTCATCCACCAGCTGTACGACAATGCTTCATTCCAAGTAATCCACAACGGGAAACTTACGGAATCCTTCGAAGTGAGGACAGGAGTAAGACAAGGCTGGCTGGCTGTCTACTATCGCCAATGATTTTCCTGATTGCAGGAGACTGGATAATGCGACAAACAGCGGGCAATGAGGAAACAGGCATAAAATGGACTCACACAAAAAACTTGGAGGATCTGGACTTCGCCGATGATATATGTCTGATTTCCCACAAACTGGAAGATATGCAAGCGAAAAGCAACAAGTTGGCAGAAGAAGCATCCGGAGAAGATAGGACTTCAGGTGAACATAGAGAAAACAGAGGTGATGAAGATTCCTGGGCAACACCAACATCAACAACAGACAACAATCAGCATAAATGGGAGGAATCTGAAAGAAACAGCCTCCTTTACCTACACACCCACCTGGGAAGCATCGTTTCAACTACAGGTGGACGGAACTGAAGAGGATATCAAAGCAAGAATCGGAAAAGCAAGACAAACTTTCACTACTCTCAAGTCTGTGTGGAGGTCAACAGCACTACTCCGCATCAAAAATAAGATCCGGATTTTCAACTCCAATGTAAAGTCAGTGCTACTATACGGATCAGAGACTTGCACTGCGCGTCATAAAGAGCATCTCACACAAACTACAGACCTTCATTAACAGTTGTCTTTGCTCAGTATTCAAGATCAGATGGCCGGTCATAAAAGATCAGCAACACAGATCTCTGGGAGCGAACCAACCAGGAACCGATTGTGAAACAAATAGGCAGGAAGAAATGGAGATGGATTGGCTGGCCATACTCTGAGGAAACCATCAAGTGACATCACTAGACAAGCCATTGCTCGAGTGGAACCCGAAAGGGAAGCGGTGAGTTGGTCGTCAGTGCGAGGGTGACTTGGAGGAGGTCAGGTGAAGAGGAGATGAAAACGTGTGGACAGACTTGGAGCCAGGTAAGGACTCTAGTAGAGAACCGAACGCAATGGAGACGCACGGCTGAAGCCCTATGTTCCTCTAGGAATGAAAGGAAACAATAATAATAACATCAGGACCCTATACCAATTCGAAGAATAGGCATCACTAGCAAGAACTCTGGCATCTCGAGCCATGGATGTATGTTGTTTAGGAGACAGGCTCACAAGACTCGAGTGTAGTCATTCACTTAACCTCACCCGGACAACAAGGTGAATCTGAAAAGTCCACTTTAAGGGTGTCAGGAGACCCCTTAGCTAGTTCGCGAGGACTCGCAGATGTAGTAATAGGATTGAATGTTAGGGCAGAAAAATCCATTCTTGGTTGGATCCCAGTCAATAGTCGTATGTGTGCGGTCCGTCTGAACAGGTCCGTTAGAAGGACGAAGGACGGCGTTAGTCTCGCTGTCTTTTCATACTCTCCGCTTACGAACCAACAGACTGAAAGTCGGATGAACTTGAGGATGACTTCTATCAGAAACTGTCTAGTTTGATGCAAAAAGCAAAACGTTCAGATATAGTTGTTTTAGCAGGCGACTTCAATGCCCAAGTAGGGAAGTTGTGCCAGAATGAGAAGTATGTAGGTGGTATGTATGGAGTTCCTTGCCGATGGACCGACAACTGTGACCGTCTTCTACAGTTCTGTCCAGATAACCATCTGCCTCTAGTCAGCGCTAACCGTAGGCATAAAGAGAGACATTGCGTGATCTGGCGAACTCCATCACTAAGTCAACGCTGGACTCAGATAGACCACATAGCCATAGGGTATCGTTAGCGAGGGGCAGTAGGAGACTGCCCCTCCTTCTGGAACACGTGCGTAGACTCTGATCACGCTCTGGTTCGCGCACGTTTGTGATTACGACTAAACGGATATAGAAAATTGTTGGCAGCGAAGCAGCTGCGTCCCCCAGCTAGATCAGGACTCTGAGTCTCTATTTAAGGAGGAAATAGCGAAACGAATACCTGAGGTCGACAGGAGTACTCCTCCTGAGATAGCCTGGCACAACATAGTTAGCTGCAGACACAGCTGTAAAAGCTGTTAATAAACTGAAACCTAAAGTTAGTAAGAGCCATCGGGTTTCTACCACCTCATCCGAACTGATTGACGCAAAAAGACTGATTCCAGCGAGCTCCGATTACGATGAGAAGCGAAAGCTACTCAAACGCAAACTAACAAGAAGTCTTCGTAACGACCGTGAACAGTGGTGGGCGACAAAAGCGAAGGAAATAGAAAAGGCATCGGCGATTGGTAACACCAGACAGCTATTTAGACTTATCAGAGAAACAGCTGGTAAAAGACAAACGATAATTGAAACAATCTCTGAGGAAAGTGGCACCATAGTTAGCTGCCAGGATTGACGACTTGAACGTTAGAAACCACACTTTAAGGGGCAATTTAACTTGCCTAAAGCTACGCTCAACTTATCGAAAATTCAACACCTTCTAGCATGAGATTTAGACACAGGTCCACCCTCCCTAACTGAGGTCACTAGTCTGAAACGAGGCAAAGCAGCAGGACCTGATGGAATGATTCCAGGTGGAGACCGTTTACTGTCTGCGTTAACTAAGGTAGTAGGCAGCGTCTGGGAATCAGAGGACGTCCCTTCGGGCTGGTGTAAATCACTGAATATCCCGATATATACGAAAAGGGAAAGAAGTCTTCCTGCGATAATCACAGGATTAGCTTGATTAATATGGTATAGTTCTAGGCTCAATAATAATGCGTAGACTAAGTGGTCCACGGGAGGAACAAACCCGAGAGAACCAGGAAGGCTTCAGACCAAGAAGAGGGTGTATTGATCATATCTTCACTCTTCGACAGATTCTGGAACACAAGTGTCATACTTACCGGCGTTCAACAATCGTTATATTTCTTGACCTAAAGGCGGCATTCGGTTCTGTCGACCGAGAGGTACTCTGGCGATGTCTGCCTGTAAAGGGAATGCCGAGGAAATACATTGCACTGATCAAGGCACTCACTCTGCTCAAACTCATGCAGCCAGCCAGGTGAGAGCTTATGGCGAGTTGTCATCTGAAGTGGTGACAACTAGTGGTGTCCGACAGAGATGCCCACTATCCACATTTCTTTTGAATTTCATCCTAAATGTACTAATGGAATTAACCCTAACTTCTGACTTCAGTGACTCAGGGATTGTCTTATTATCGTCAGGGAGTAATCTCGTTGACGTAGAATATGCACGAGGATGATATAGTCCTTCTAGGTGAAGACGCTGGCAAAATGCAGCAGAGTCTTCTGAACACCTTGAGCTGCAATCTGCGAATGTTCGGCATGCGATTCGCTCACGCTGTCAAAATGTAAGATGATGCTACAGGACTAATCTGGACTGCATTGTATTTACAAGGTTTCATGATTTGTTACAGCCAGAATGAATGACCCTGCTAAGTTAAACAACCTAGAAGAAAACTCAGATGTTACAGTGCATTCACTTGCATGTAGTCACATATTAGGGAGAGAGGTGTAAATAATAAAAAGTAATTTGGTTATGTGGAGACAGACGCTAGTCATTGAATCAACAAACACGTGCAATCGAAATGGCACAACAAGGGGGAGAGGGAAAATATATAAAGTGAATTATGAAGCTGTGTGAGTGCATTTATAGGTTTATGAGCAATATGTGGTGCTCGAAGCGTTATCCAGTTATCCATACTGTTAACTTACCTAATATGGAATTAATGACCTTTTTACATTCCGAAAACAATTTATTTACCTGAAAATGTTGAGGAAGAACTTGTATTTGAAAAGGCTGTCCAGCTGATGCTCCAGCAGCACCTACTGGAAGTTGTAGAACATACTGCAACGGAGCTGCCGTAGAATTGACTGTAGTAGCATTTGGAGCGGAAGCTGCTATTACAGTAGATGAGGTATTGACTGAAGACTGAGCACCACCTAGACCACCACCAGAAGAGACAGTTGTAAAATGAACAGCTGTGGGTTGGTTTTGTTGAACTACTGTTTGACATGGGATTCCTGAATTAACAGAAGTTGCTCCGGCGATTGCTCCAGATGCCAAAGCAACAGTCACTGTTTGGGGTTGTGCTGAAGCTCCAGTAGCATCACTCGACAATCCCGAAACAACTACTTGACCTGAGCCTTGTTCTAGAGACAATGAATGCGCACCATTTGTATTTGTGAAAAAACTGTTCCTATTCCCAGGATTTTCTGGCTTAACATTCATTGGACTACCGTTGGTATTTGAAGAAGAGGTCGCCTGGTTTGGCTTTCAAAAATGTATGGATTTAAAAGGGTAATATATCGAAAAACAAAAGTGACAACTTTACATAATTGAACTAAAATAACCTACACACACCAACGAATCACGGTGGCCAAGCATTTTTGATAAAGATTTCTTTCGGAAGATCAAATTCCTATTCTAGTGCATCAGGGCTACACACGCGCTGGATGTAAGTAGCACGGAATTGAATCAAATTTCGTTTTCTTTCAACACGCACCTAACCGTAGGAACTTCCCACTTGACCGTTCCGTGCGGCTTTCCCATGGACAGACGTTTATGTTTCATCAGCTCCTCTTGTTAATTTCACCATAGAGGAAGAGGATTTTAGGCTCAGTTTTTACTTAAAAGGTGAATTTTATTGCTAGATGACATTTGTTAAATGCCTGTAACAAAAGTGATTAAGGCCACAATTACAGTCACAAATGATAAAAATGTTGTCCACTCACTTTGCATACTGCTGAACATTATCAATAGTTGACAGTTCCCGAGACTTGCCATAAAACAGTCTGCTAGTAATGGACCCAAGGGAGATCCCATCATTTTGTCAGTAGACAGTCTCATTAAAAGTGAATTGTACATCTCAGGCATATGGGTTGTTTGAGGCATACGGCGAACATGTCTCACATGGTTGCAGGAAGGTATCAGAGTGCGATATATAGACACCTCAACGCAACACTGGACATCCTATCTCAACAAAATCCCCCTTCAAAGTAATATAAAAAGCGGAGAACAGCCTGCGAAAGGCAATGCGCCTTCGTCACATATCCATTCCTTCATTTCTGGCCATCAAGATAGAGAAACTGGAGCTCAGAATACGAAAGGAATATTCTTTCGAAGTCTTGGGTAGTGTTTCCATAGTTTCTATGCACATCCTGATTACAGATCATCAGATTATTTATCCCATTACGTAAATACTACTATGTATTGATTCACACCAACAACTAAGGCTATGACAACTCATCACTTTTGTAACTATTCACATTCCGGAAAAAAATTCTATACAAAGGCCACTGTACAGCTGAAGGAAATGTAGTCGCAGAAGTAAACATCCCCACAGCACTAACTATATTATTTTCCTCAGTTCATGGAATATTCCCCACTGAGCCTGCAGAAAATCAAAGCAGGCGATTCACCAAAAAGTCTCTTTTCAACAAATTTATCCATTAAGCTGTACCAGTCGCATATATATATATATATATACATATACTATACATCACTTTAAAAATTATGTGAATTATGACAAAAATTATTATTATTATTTCTACACCACAATGAGACTTATCCATCTCATGAACTATATTATAAAGTACACAAAAAAGTATTTTTGTCATAATTCACATAATTTTTAAAGTGATGTATATAATATATATGTATATAAATATATATGCGACTAGTACAGCTTAATGGATAAATTTGTTGAAAAGAGACTTTTTGGTGAATCACTTGTTCTGATTTTTTATTAGTGCCTGGATAGGTATTAATCACGAATTAGGCATTAAACACCAATTGTGATAGGAAGCGACTAAAATGGTAATCAATATTATAAGCCAATGATCTCAAAACCATTCACATGAATATGATAACCTGACTGTTGAACCCGGGACTTGTTACAACTCTTCAATTTATCGTTTAACCACTGGCCAATCGCCTACCAATCAGAATACCCTATTCTCCGTTGACCTAGCAGAATTTTAGCATGGTTAGAAATATATATATATATAATTTTTCTATGTAGGAAGTTCTTATCTTAACAGTCACAGGCGTCTTTGTCTTTTGATATTTACGTAGCGTCGGTCGATACCAAATTGTACTTATCACTGGTAGTCATTCCGCTAATAGACCTTTTCGCATGGTGTACTCTTAGGTTGTTGATCTAGTGAACAGTTAAAAGATAATGGAAATTCACGCTGATTTTTTGTAAACAATGGTGAGCTAAAACATCACAAGTTATTCTCATCACAAAATAAAGGAGAATTTATTCGTTCGACATATAATCGGTGTTTACTTGTAAATCACGTGATAAATTCCCCAATTAAATTACTACATGGAACACAATTTAGACTTACTCGACGATGCCCTCTGGTTTCTTCACGAGGTACAATATCAATAAGGAAGTCAAACTGATCTGTATCTCCATCACTGACTGCCATAGCTATATCATTCCTTTGAAGTGTGCGTCTTCGGTTGCGTTCCGTGTGAACCCAAGCTCTTGAAGTTAACTCTCGAATAAAAAGTTCAGCTGCTTTAGCAAACAGTATTGGTGCTTCAGCACTAATCATCTTGTTAAAAAAGAACTAAAGTTTTAGTAGCAGTCAAATAAACAGAGATGACTAAAAATTAAGGAATACTGTGAAAGAGAAATATATTAGTAGACTTGACGACCGAAAATACTGTCCACTTAAAGGTATCAAATGAATCCTATGTACAAAAGAGTTAACCAGATTTAAATTGACGGCAAAATAACCTTTGACATTATAAATGCTAAAATGTCAGTAGAATTCCTAATTGATAAAGATACAACACACACATGCATAGGGCCAGAGAAGAAAGTAAAAAGAAATGTAAAAGAGATATGAGGCAAAAAGAATAGTAATACCGAAGGACAATTTAGTTCTATTGGGTATTACAAATCACAAGGAGTGGATGCATCTGCACCAGCCATTGAGAACGATTTTGAGCCAAATCACCAATTGTCTCCAGCTATTAGTGTTTACTGTCCCGGGGACCCCAACCAGTCAGGAAGTCTACACTTCCCTACGTGGCTGGCTTAAACTAACTGTTGTGGATTTCATTGACTGATGGAGCCATGTTTTGGTTTGACCACCAATAGTTGGCTCTTTCCCAACCTGACCCTATGTCAGCTGACTAACATTGCCCATTGTCGAGGAAGGTGATGCATGGCTAGGCATGCGTAACACATATCCTTGTGATTTGTAGTACCTAATAGAACTATATTGTCCTTCGATATTACTATTCTTTTTGCCTCATATCTCTGTTTACCGTCTCTGTTTTACATTTCTTTTTACTTTCTTCTTCTCTGGCTTTGTGTGCTGGTTGAAGTGGGGCGACTCAAACTGCTGCACATCGGTGCAATGTTCCACGTTGAAACCAGTCAGTTATACGAACTTAGCTACTCCGAACAGAACGTTAATGCACGAAAATCAAAATGGAAGGCCTAGATTCTGTATACTTTATTCCAATTTTGCCTCATTTCTACTAAGAACGTGTTCACCAAATTAAACATACCATGACATCTCTAGTTAAGTTTTGGTAAACTTTCAGATAAATAAAGGTGGTTGGACGAATCTAATGGTCCAAATACAATACATAAAACATTTCATTTTAATAACATAGTACATTGAACTTACCATACACTTAATATCATCATCTAGCTTCATAATTTTCTTTATTCTTGCCAAGGGTAGATCTTGAGTCTTAAATGCTGCATGGTCGCATTTTAAGCCGTCTATTTCAACACGTATGAGATCCCAAAATGATACCATTTGTGACTGACACTCTGTCAGTTGGTCATTCGAATAATCCATCTGCAAGAAATTGGGACAAAAAGCAACAATCACTCGCATGTCGGGAGTAACCGAGTACTTTTTTCATCCTTAAACGTCAACTCTTATTCTTTTCTGTGTCTTATGGGCTTTTGAACGATTATAAATAATCTTTTTGTTCCTCCCACTCAGTGATTATCACCTAATGTGCATATCGATAACTTAAAACCTGTCATATGGTAGTTACAAATACCTACTTACATAAGCTAAAATGACACAAATGTTATACAAATTAGCGAAAGTGTAACTGCAAACTAAAGCATAAAACTGTTAACAAGATGGTGTTAGCGACCTAGGAAAATGGTAAAATAGCTAATCTACTGGGAACAAGAATCTTAAATACATGGTGAATTTATGAAGCCAATATATGTACTTTGTGCAGTTTACTGTGAAAGTACAAGGTGCATCGACATAGTTGACGGGATCCGGCTGATTACAAACATTTGGGTATCACGCACTGATCCGCGCTCGTGTGTGCTTACGACTGAACGGACGTAGGAAACAGCTGGCGGTAAACCCATCACGTCCCCAGCTCGATCAGGAATCTAAGTCCCTATTTGAGGAGGAACTAGCTAAACACATATCTGAGTTCGACAGCTGCGCTCACCCTGAAGAAGCCTGGAAGAATATTCAATCAGCCATAGATACAGCTGTAAAAGCTGTGAATAAGGTAAATCCAAAGGTGAGTAAAAACCATTGGATTTCGACTGCCTCATCCGAACTGATAGATGCTAGAAGACTTATTCCGGCGAGCTCCGAATTCAACGAGGAGAAAAAGCTGCACAAGAGGAAACTTACGAAAAGTCTCCGCAAGGACCGTGAACAGTGGTGGTTGACAAAGGCGAAAGAGATGGAAAAAGCATCGGCGATAGGCAACACTAGGCAACTCTTTAGACTCATCAGGGAAACGGGTGGGAGAAGGCAAATCATAAGTGAGACTATTTGTGAGAAAAATGGCTCCCTAATTAGCTCTCAGGATAGACGCCTTGAACGCTGGAAAGAACATTTTGAGGAACAGTTTAACTTGCCTACAACCACACTGAACCTCCCCGCCATCCAGCACACACCCGAATGGGATACAAACACTGGCCCGCCGTCTGTAAGTGAGGTCACCAAAGCTATCTGTAATTTGAAACGAAGCAAAGCGGCAGGACCCGACGGAATTATTCCGGAGGTGTTTAAATATGGGGGTGACATACGAGTATATAGTTTAACTAAGGTACTAGGTAACGTCTGGGAATCAGACTGGGGTAAGTCACTTATTATACCGATATTCAAGAAGGGAGACAAGTCCTTCTCCTCATGTGATAATCATAGGGGATCAGCCTGACGAACATAGTCTCTAAAATCCTAGGCTCAGTAATCATGAACAGACTAAGCCGAACTCGGGAGGAACAAACGAGGGAAAATCAAGCGGGCTTTAGGCCAGGTAGAGGGTGCATAGATCATATCTTCACTCTCCGACAGATCCTAGAACATAGACACACTTTCAGGCGTCCAACAATTGCCATATTTCTTGACTTAAAGGCGGCCTTCGACTCCGTGGATCGAAAGGTACTATGGCAATGTTTGACTATGAAGGGAGTGCCAAGAAAGTACATTGCACTAATCAAGGCACTCTACTCAAACTCACGTAGCCGTGTAAAGGCTTATGGGGAATTGTCATCTGAATTGATAACAACCAGTGGTGTCCGTCAGGGATGTCCACTTTCCCCATTTCTGTTTAACTTCATCATACACATGCTAATGGAAGTATCCTTAACTGAACTTAACGACTTAGGAATCGACTTGTTACCAGGGAATAGGCTTATAGACTTAGAATACGCAGACGACATAGTCCTGTTAGGGGAGGACGCTGACAAAATGCAGAGTCTTCTGAACACCATGAGCAGCAATCTTCGTATGTTTGGCATGCGATTCGCCCCTGCAAAATGTAAGATGCTGCTACAGGAATGACTGGACTACGTCAACTCCTAGCTTAGTGATAGGGAGTGAAGTGATAGAACATGTTGAACACTTCACCTATTTGGGAAGTTGTATCAGCACCAACGGATTGATTGGTGACGAAATCACAGCACGGATCCAGAAAGCTCGGGCTGCTTTCGCTAACTTACACCGTCTCTGGCGTAGGCATGACATCCGGCTATCAACCAAGGGACGTGTGTACTGCTCAGCAGTTCGCTCCGTCCTTCTCTATGGCGGTGAGACGTGGCCATTGAGAGCGGAAGACATGAAGAGATTGTCTGTTTTTGACCACAGATGTTTACGATCTCTCTCTCGCGTTAGGTAGTATAATAAGGTAAGTAATGTTGACGTTAGGCGTAGAGAGTTGGGCAAAGAGGGAAAATCAATCGAAGAGGCTATAAAGTTGCATAGATTGAGATGGCTAGGTCACGTGCTGCGCATGCCTAGCCATCGCCTCCCACGACGGTCATTACTAGCTGATATAGGTGCAGGTTGCAAAAGAGTAAGTGGTGGCAAAACAAAAACATGGCATCAATCCATGAAATCCCTGACAGTTAAACTGAGTCAGGTAGGGAGATGCAGACTTTCGGGTTGGGGCCCTCGGGACTCTAAGAATCAATGGCTGGAGACAATAGGTGACATGGCTCAAAATCGTTGTCAATGGCCTTCGCAGATGTATTCAGTCTCTGTAATCTTTCATATTCCTTTCTACCATTACCCATTCTGTTTCACTCTTATACCTGTCGAAACTCTACTGATTCTCTCCACTCATTTTCTTGTCTACCTTTGTGTGCTCTTTGGAACGTGGTAACTCGAACTGCTGCACTTCGGTGCCAAGTTCTATGTTGAATCCAGCAGCAGCAACAAAAACAACAAACATTTTGGTATGTTCTCAGTCCAGAATATTCTACAGCAATTACTGATTCTGAGAACAGACTGCTAATCGGACTGTAAACAGTCCATGTGAGACTGTGGGATGAAAAACTGTACTGCTAATGAGTTGGATATTTGCTCCACGTCATGTGTAACAGTTTGACAATAACCACACCCGCCGTTAGTGTCGAGTTCCTGTAAGTAAGCAATTAACCAGAGTTCAGACAACTTCTCACCCAAGTGAAGGTGATTTGCACAACTAACCTGTTATAAGATGAGATTATATGGCGTTCCAATTCCGAAGCAGTAATTTAAGGGAATGGAAACGGTGTGCCGTGTACTAAACACCTACCATCTCCTCTAAATAACATTGAAATTGGCAAATAGTATAGAGTATGGAAGGAATTAGGATGACATGCATGACACCACAGAAGCTGGAACTACTATTGCAAAGTGGGACACTCTACGATGCCTATATCATATGTTTATGTTTACATAAATGTATAGCAGAAAGTGTCCCGAGATGATTTTATTAAAAAGGATCTGTGCCTTAGCTAAACACCGTCAAGTCAAGTGTAGTTGCCAGTTCTCCCGACATGGTGCTCACCTATACGGATTTATTTAATCCTTTACATTCCCAGTGGGACAAAGGGCCTCAAGTTAGAGGCTTGAAGTTTCGGTAGCAGTGGTGTTTTTCTTTTACAGGATGAGGCTGCTAGCCTCGTGCCCAACTTTTCCTCTTTACCAGTCTTATTAATGGCTTTACGAGATTAAGGGGTGTGGGCCACGGATCGAACCCCAAACCACATGCGTGGTCGACAAGCATTCTACCTCTGTGCCACCGACGCATATCTACGCGGATTATAGTCCGCGAATGGAAGTTTCGGTCAGACAGGAGTTGTGTAACTGCCAAAAAGAAGTTCAAATGAATCTTGCTGAAGACTTGAGCGGATGGTCCCAATGTAATCGGGCACACATTGAAAAGCAGACAATTGTAGAAATTATATTTGTATGAATCTCAGGGAGATTGAATTCAACAACCCCGCTTCAGAAAATAGACCGATAGTAGTACTGCGAAGCTACCTGTTGAAGTTTTGATAACACTACATGCAATTTGTCCCATATTTTGGTGACTATTCATGACGACAAGGATTTTAATATGAGAATGCATCTACGCTTGGTATCTTGATTATGGTCATTCTCCCGAAGTCCGGATCAATTTGTTTAGCAAAATGTCAGTAGTAATTATTTTTCTCAATCTCGCTGAGATTTAACAAACAATTCTTACGTATATGGAAGAAAGCAAATAGGACTATTCCTGAATTTAAGACTTGATATAATAATAATAATTTGCTTTATTCCAGAAACAGTGGTACAGTGTGGGATTTTCAGCACAGTGAATAGGAGACGAAACAAAAGTATACTGTTAGGTTTTAGGATACATGTTTGTATCAGTGACAATGAACACCTATGAATTACAAGACGATATTCGAAGTTGGGCCTTATAGGTATCATTATACCTAAGTAGCAATACATAACATAACTGTCATTTGAATAGCCAGAAGGGCTGTTGAATGTTGCTTAGAATGATTAAGAATTAAGTTTTCCGCATGACAGATATGAACCTGGAAGATTCCTACCTAATTAATATTCGGAATAATACAAAATAAACACCAATCAGAAGTCACCTCGACTCTCAATCGAAAAAGCCGCCACTGATTTCAAAAATGTGTCCTCCATCATAACTGTAACTTACAAGGGTGATGCTGTTACAACAATGTATTTACACCTATCAGAAATCAACTTTAAAGTCTTAATAAAGTCAAAAAGTGGGTTTAAAGACAGACATTTGTGCTTTGCTCAGACGTAAACAGGTTAATAGCAATTCGGGTTCATTGAAACACTTGAAATTTCTTTATGACATGTATTGAGATATTTTCGCCCATGAACAGTGAATCGAAAATGACTTTGCGTTAGGGATATACGGTTCATTAGTGTATTTTGTGTTTTTCAGCTTATGCGAGAAAATGTGAGTTTAGGTCAATTGGAATTCAGCTACTGCCGATGCACACTTCTGAATAAGAGGAATAATGACACACGAAACACCAACAATGAGATATCAGGAGTGAAATTGCAGTAATTCTAATCCCATGAAATTCGAATGGAGACGGAAACGAAAGACAGAACAAGCGAATTTCAGGTTAAGAAAGTAGCTTAATATATAATTATGAATCTTTGGCACTGTGGTACAGTATTACTCTATTATAGATAAGATTTTATTTTGATGAATCTTTTGGAAGTTAGCCATGTTCCCTACATTATCGGCATATGCATACTTAACAAGGATTGTATTGTGCTACCTGGAACTATATATAGCTGATTATCGTTGTTTTTGATACTTCGATAATACAATAATCCCCTTTTGTATCCTCAAGACTTTTTCCGGAAATTGTAAAATTTCTTGTCACTGTAATGGTTAATTCTGTCAAACGTGTAATTACCGTTAGGAGACTGGGATCTAATACTCGGCGACCATCTGAAGGCCTCAGTTCCGTAGACTATTCTGTA